CGTGACCCGTACGGGTTCATAATACGGGTTATCTACGGGTTGCGGGTTGAAATATATAAACTCTAACCTGTTTTTTAAAGGTCGGGTTAGGATCGGGTTGACGGGTCGGGTGGATTTTTGCCAGGTCTACTCACAATTTCTCTCTTTCTTTTCTCTCACAAGAGCTCTCACTCAATTTCTCTTGCTTGCTCCTACTCTTGCTTGCCCATTGCCTTTGCATGCATGGGTATTTATAGTGAAAAATCCAACTACTCATGCACCATTTTTCTTTACCTCATTACCACCCGGCCAAGATTTTCTTTGCCCATTAAATGGGTCAACATGCAATCTTTGAAAGATTTTAACAAATCAATCTAGCCCACAATTGGTTTATAGGCCAGTGAAGCAAACTTCCACATGGAAAGTCCATGTGTTCACATGCATGGGGTTGGACTTTCTTCCAACACATACTGCCAATTCAAGAGGCATCCATTGCAGCCAACCATCTCCATCATCCAGACGAACAGAACCAAATACCCATCTAATATTTTTGTAATTTTTGTAATATCAACTCAAAAAGAACATAAATATATAAGGGATAAATGAGATCTGAGAGTGGATGAGAAAGTCAAAGTAGACATCAAACCTTGACTTACCTTTCTTTGATGCATCTTGGCTCCCATGTGGTTGAAGGGCAACCACAACCTTCAGTTGTTGATCCATGCTTCTCCTTAATTAGGAACACCAACCTAAGCTACCCTTATCAACTATCCCAAGTGCAAACAAATCTTTTTTCTCCCTACCCCTTGCAATTAGCAGAGAGTTTTTAAATCAGAAGGGACACCTTCACCTCCTTGAAGTTATCTCAATGTTAACAGTCAGCACAAGATCAGAAACACTCTTTTCCATTAAAGATTTTAACTCAATAAACACCATTCCATCTTCAAACAAAACAGACCACAGTAAAATCAGCTCCAACAGCAGCAATAAGTTTGTTCCCCTAACAAGATCCAGCAACAGATTTCGATTCATAGCATTGATTTCACCATGGAGATCACTACTATTTTCCAGCAGGAACTTAGCCTCAAAAGCTATTAAATCATCATCAGATACAAGAGACCACAGCAGATTAAGCCTAGGCACAACAATCCTAATCTTCATCATATCAAGTCCCAGCCCTCCATCAATGCTTTAAGTCTTCACTTTTTAGTTATCAAAATCTTCTATTTTTTTTTTTTCTTTCTTTCTTAAAGAGGTAAAGGATAATATTAGAAAAAGAAAAGTAAATTATTTAAAACTTTTAAATTTTAAAAAATTAAAAAATTAAAATATTAATGTTTATAAGCCAATTTGCTAACAAATTAAAAAGTTATTTTAAAATTATATTATTTTGATAAAATATTATAAAAATACAAAAATAATCACACTCTTACTTTGAAAATATTTTACTTTAGTCCATTTCATTTAGAATTTACTAAACATACATAATTTTATAATATTTTTTTTAACCTTCGGAATATTCACCAGACAAATATTTTCTCTAATAAGTATTTAAGTTAGAAAAAAAAAAAAGGGTAAAGACAAGGGATATAATTACACTTTTGGCCATTCCCAGCATCCCAAGCTTTAGGACATGAACAGGCTTTTTCTCCGAACATGACTCAGTGATGATCTGTCACCCGAAGCTGTGGTTGAAATTCCACGTAGGCTCGGACAACCGTTTGTCCCCAAACCCAATACCCAACATAAAAAAGCCAAAAACCACAAACCCAACGTAAACTAATAATAATACACTAAATTATTAAAAC